GTTACTTGGATGTATGAAGTTATATGTTAAACGCGATTACTTGGGTGTACTAGGTTAGAAGATAAACGCGAATACTTGGGTGTACCAGGTTAGAAATTAAACGCGGTTACTTGGATGTATGAAGTTATATGTTAAACGCGATTAGTTGGGTGTACCTCGTCAGACGATAAACGCTGTTACTTGGTTGTACCACGTTAGATATTAAACGCGGTTACTTGGGTGTACCACGTTAAAAGTTAAATGCGATTACTTGGGTGTACTGCAGTAAATAGTAAATTTAATTATAAGCGTGTACCGCGGTATACAGTAAGTCTGATTACTTGAATGTACCAAAAAAAGTAATAACTCTGATTAACAATGGACATCACAAAGTGATAAAAACTTATTTTATAACTTCAGTTTTTGTAGAAAAATCTTTCTGGATAACAAACTCACAAAGCACGTAAACTATTGTATTTTTTAATATATTAACATGCTTCATAATTAGGATTGATTTATTTTACGTTACTAGGTTAATTAATGTTACTTTCTGATCAAAACAAGTTAGTTGTTTAAATCAAAACTAAAAATCAACCTCATGATGAGTATGGCTAATTAAATATAATTTTCTTACGTTCTTACCTATAAAGATTATAATGCATTGTTTCATTAATTATTAACCTGGCTGTTGACGATACTTTTGGCCATAAACCCAGTAATATCTCACAAGATTCAGCCAGTACAGAAGTTTTAGATTAGTCCTAAATCCATATATTAAGGTAATTATGGAAAAAGAACAACAATATCCAAAGAAAACCTGTTCCAATATTAACAAACCGTTAATATTTGTATAAAAAATTACCCCTTTTTTGGCATAAATAAAGTTTAGTGTCAAGAACTGAGAAAAATATTAAATGACAGCAACTACTGTGGTAATTTTCAAACTAAGAAATGTCCAAACAATGTTATCTTTGAAAAAAAAAATAAAGAAACTTCTATCTAGAAAATTGTTTTATAATAATCAGGGAGTTTTATTCTTATGTTTTTTTCATTGTTCCTTTCTCTAGAGATCCGAAAATTAATAAATAAACGACTCTACAATATGTCATTCAATGGTTTTAATAGTTCTCTTTCAGTGTCCAAGAAATAATTTATAGTTCTATAGCAATATTGTCGACTAAGAGTAAAGAATGAAAATGTAGTTTAATAAGAGTGAAGTATGAATTTAATTAATAATGAAATGACAACAATGACACTACCAGAAACTGAAACGACAACAATTACACTACCAATAACTGAAATGACAACAATGACACTACCAGAAACTGAAACGACAACAATTACACTACCAATAACTGAAATGACACTACACTACCAAAAACTGAAATGACAACAATTACAATACCAATAAAGGAAATTATAACAATAGCACTACCAGAAACTGAAACGACAACAATTTTCATTGATTTCAATTTTATTCAAAATATAAATTTTTAACAGAGTTATAACGAAATTTTCAAATAAAGATTTACTCCTTCTACTCTCGCTTCGTATGAAAAAGTGTAGTGTTCTACTTCTGTAGCAACATTCTTGACAAAGAATAAGCAAGGAAATTGTTGTTTTGTACTCGTAAAGTTATAATCACTTCTATAGTTGAGCTCTTTGGAATTATTCAGTAAACAAAAGAGAGAGAGAGAATTCTACATCCAGTTCACTGTGACAACAAATGTGTTGTATTTTTTCACCACGTGTACAAATTCTACAAATTTCACGTACTAGTGTTCACTGAGCAATAGGCCTAACTTCACAACTAACGCTAAACAATCACTTCCTTGCTAATTTTCTCGTATCACTTATTTCTTCGTCGAAACACAAGCTCGATATTCATAAAACTGAACTGACTAACTTGCTGACAGGAACAGGCAAACTGATGAACGAACTCGCTACCTCAGTAATACATTTTCATCTGCTCCTGCCTAATTCCCTTTTCGTATACCGCTAAGACTATTCAAAATATTTTGATAAAACGTAAGACGTTAAGCCAGGTGTTCAACACATGGTGTCAAATCTCTCTCTTGCCAAACAACAATACAGAAATTTAATTACAAACATTGTCTACATCAATACATAATCCTCAGAAAAAAGAACTTACACTTTTTGAAAATTCAATAGATACTTGCCTAAACGTCTATGACTGAAAAAAAATTGATTTAACATAATCCTCCTATTTGCTTGAAGGTTTATTTGGATTAAGAAATAACTAAATTTATGCTATAATTGTGAAACGAGTGCTACCTCCCTTATTAGTTCGTGCCATATATTGTGCAATATTTTATTGTTTCTGTTACTTCAATGTACGTAATATTGTTTCTTAATATTTTCTTAATTGTTTCTGCACTAGTGTTTGTTGTTGTTTTAGAATTTTCGCGAAACTATTCGCAAATAGTTATATGTTCATAGTTGCCCTAAACTTTGAACTTACAAACAACAGCTAAGACTTACAGCGCATAGCACACCTACAGAACTAAAGTGCAAAGCGTGTCGCTGTATTAAAAAAAAAAGACATTAAATAAAGAAACATGCGAACCCTGAATTCTCGGATTTCCAGACTTGGAAAAGCTAACATAAAGTCACGCCTGGTCATATATAATAATATTTATCCAAAATTACACCCACTTGTAGAAATAAATAAGACATTGTCACTAAATTGTGTCTTAACTTGAAAATGTTTGGACATTTTTTTTATTGCGAGAAAAGTTTTTCTTAAAATATTCTGTGACACATTATAGATAAAAACATCTAAGTGGTAACGGTTTTAAAGTTCAGTTTCATTAATAAGTTAGTGCTCAAATATAAGAATGTTATAAACAAAGTTACTATAATGTGTTACAAATAAGACCTTTCTCATTTGACATCATGTAGTTAGTTTGAATTAATTAATTCGTGCAGTTTTAGTCTGAGTAAAGCTGGTTATTTCTGATAGGTATACATTAAAAGCTTTAGTAGTTTAGAAATTCATTCTTTTTTTGTTTGAAGATAAATTATTTCGTTATATCAGAAATTTGTATCCCCCCCCCCAAGAAAAAAGAGAAACTAAACAAACTTGGCTCTTCTTGTTATACTGTTAGACAGGTCTTTCGTCCTGAGACAAAGTATTCATATGGAATCCCACGTTTCTCTTTCAGACGTCTCGTTGTGCTGTATCTCTATCCTCGTTTTCATTTCTTCTCCTCTGAATGCGCTGCGAATCGTCTTAGGAATAAAGACGTTAATCCGTGCGATCAATAACAAGTATCTCCTGACTTTACTTTTTATAACTGGTTATAGGAAAAAGTTCCTTCTGCTCTGAGAACTACCAGAATAGTAGCAACCATATGTTCAGTTGTTGTTTTTCTATTTCACTCTGCTGTGCGTTGAACTTTGCATTCTTTGTTCACTGCGAAGCGTTTCATTCGATTTAGATCTTCTCCGAGTGTTTGCAAGTTCTTTTTTCGTTTCTCATTTCGTTAATTCTAAGAGGTCTTTTTGATTAACCTTTGTCAATTTTAAACATGGAGTATGCTAAACCACTGATATAGATATATTTGTTTGTAATGTGTATCTTTGGATTTTTTTTTCTATTTTGATCTTTCAATGGTGAATTTTACACATCGAGCCAACTTTGTTTAGATTTATTTCGATCAAATACATATCTGTGTCTTGTTTCAAGTCACTCACTTGTTCTTCATGTGATTTGTTTTATTTCTGTTGTTGTGTCGTGTGGATCTTTTTGAAAAATGTTTTCCGTTAATATTTTGTAGGTGTATCATCTTCGTTCATCCCACTTCATTTTTAACTGTATGTAGTCTGTTTTGGTTTAACGTTTTTTAGGTTCATAGAAGCTATAGTTTTCCTGTATGAGAATGCCTCATTTTTGGCGAAGTGTTGGAGTTTAGGGCACATGATTTCTGTTTTTTCAAGATATTCGAGTTGTGCTGGACAGCTTGACCTTGTGTCAAAAATCCAATTACTCACTTCAGCTATAAAGTATTTTTACACTTAATTCTTCTATTAGACGTCGGAAATATTTGATAAACTATCAATGATCATTCAACACCTACTAGTGAACGCTATCATAGATGTAACTGATCGAAAAACGACCAAAATTCAACTCATGGTTAATAAAATATTATTTGAAACAATTTCTGTATACGTGCATGCTTTATAATAGCTTAATGGCTAAAGTATTATTTTATTAAATTTTGTATGATTATGTCATTACAGATTTGTGGTGATCAGTATTTGAGTGGTGTTTATAAAGTTTGATCCAAGTATTACTGTGGTGTTTATAAAGTTTGATCCAAGTATTACTGAACATTTTTACCAGATTTTCTGACTTGGTCATAGTCTATGGTCTAAGTGTTGGTGCAAAATTTACTGTGATTTGGGTGTTAATATTTTACTAGCGTTTGTGTTAAAATAAAATAAAAAACTTGTAGGATTATAAGAGTAGATAAATCACAATTAAGGAAAACTGAGTTTAAGTGTTGATATTTAATTAATCTCAGTGGAAATGTTAATGAATATGTTATCACTATTCATATATTTTATTACAAGTGTTTTCTGGTATCTGATTGAGATATTTGTTGATGAACATTTTACCAGCGTTCCGGAGTTAATGAAGGCGCACGTCTCGTACATAAACAGAACCAGCTTATCCGACAACTGGAGGAGGAGCTGATGAATTCTAAGATGAGAGGTCAGGATTCAGATGTCCAACAACATCTAGAAGCGCTCTACAATGAGAAAGAACACATGCAGAAAGAGATTTTTCTACTGAGAGAAACCATTAAGGTAAAGTTAAGCCTGAATGTATTCGTAGCTTTCATAACATTATTTGTTTACTACTTTTGTCATAGCTATTGTGCGTACGTATCGTGTAAATGTCAGCATTTTCTCGACAGACTACAGAAAGTTTAATTACTTAAGACAATGATGGATAGTGTTCATCGGAGATTGAATTCTATATTAACAAAGCTCTCTTCTAAGATCACTTATACATCCCAACGCTATCACTGTTCAGTTGTATTAAAATTCAATCTACTGTTCATATGATGACGACGATTCTCAGGATTGACTTTTGTGCTTTGTTCCAGTTGAAATCGCATACACATACATAACACTACGTCTCGAAAACACAATAACATTGGGGTTAATATAACACTTGGATCACTTAAACAGAACTCAAAGTAAACAATGGCACGTATCATAATATTTTCCCTAAAACGAAAAATGGAACAACTAATTACGAAAATATGGAAAACATTTCGAAATTACTGAAGTTTTAAGTCAAAGGAAAACCCCCCCGTAGATTCGTGTGTTTGATATGATAACCTCCCCCCCCAAAAAAAACAACAACAACAACAACTTCAGAAGAGTTGTTTGTTTGGAAGTTTGCGCAAAGCTACACGAGGGCTATCTGCGTTAGCCGTCCCTAATTTAGCAGTGTAAGACTAGAAGGAAGACAGCTAGTCATCACCACTCACCGCCAATTCTTGGGCTACTCTTTTACCAACGAATAATGGCATTGACCGTCACATTATAACGCCCCACGGTTGAAAGGGCGAGCATGTTTGGTGCGACGGAGATTCGAACCCGCAATCCGCAGATTGCGGTTCGAACTTTCTAACCACCTGGCCATGCTGGGCCACTTCAGATGAAAGTCTGTAAATGCTCCATTCATCTTTAGTACGGAATCTTCTCGTTGTCAGGTTCCAAAAAAAAACTGCTTTCTCTATTCGTGTAATTTTGATAATATGGTCTCACTTCAGTATATATTATCTATCTTGGAAGCGTTCTCCCTAACTTTATTATTGTTATTCTATACTTTCTGTTTGTGTAAAACGTACAATAAATAACTTAAAAGGTGTGGTTCTATTTTATCATCAAAGATAAGCTGTGAATATGAAGAATCATTTTATATTGTATTATTAATCGTAGCAATCTGAAAAGAAATATCTGCTATTTCCATGAGTATTCTAAATAATTTGTTTTTGTCGGAGAACTCTCAAATTCGTTTGGTGCAATTTTGAATTTACTCAACATCTCTAAGTTACGAATATAAAATAACTATTGCTATTGGACTTGGAATTTGCATCAAACATGTAGTTTAGGAGTATGAAACTTTGTTTTGCTGCAGGACTTGGAAATGAGAATTGAAACTCAGAAACAGACGCTGGCTGCAAAGGAAGAGGGCATCAAGAAATTGGTAGAATTTCAGCAAAGCAAAAGAACAGGTGATTGTTTATATTTGGAAAGTCATCAGAAGTTTGGGTTCAGTGGTGTTTTGTAATAACTCCAGAAGAATATTTACGTACTCTACTATATTTACGTATTTGATAATCACTGATCACACTCTGTATATCTTACAAGCTTCGAATAGTTCCCGATCTTATGGAAACAATATATTACAGGCGCAAATAAGGGGTAAATTTGGCTTGTGTATTTCATGATTAAGCTGTTTGAAAAAAATAATAGTTATTTTTTTACTTCTTAAACTGGTACTGGTATACGATAGCTCTCGGTAAGAATCACTGCTTAAAAGGCTCGTAGAAGAGATATACAATGTGTTGTTCATTGTATTATAAACAGTTTGGTAATTGATAGGCAAATTTGTCACTAGGTCATCTTATGGAAGAAGAACGTCTTGAAATAGAAAGGCTTAAAAACAAGTTCATTGAAGCTGAAGCGAAAGCTCGTCATATGGAAGAATTACTGGAAAACAAGGACAGGGATGTTGGAAAGGTCAGATTAGGTTAGGATTAAATTAAGGTGTGGATTAAAGTGCACAAATGTTTAGCTAAAATGATTAAAACAAAGATAGATGTTGGAAAGGTCAGATTAGGTTAGGATTTAAGTAGGATGTGGATTAAAGTGTAAATATTTTTAGCCAAAATTACTAGAAAACATGGATAGAGATATTGGAAAGGGTATATTAGGTTAAGATTAAATTAGGATGTGGATTAATGTGCAAAGAGGTTTAGCTAAAACTAGGTTAGGTTAGGCATAACTTCGGGTATATGAAAAGAAACAAGGGCGTTCATTTAAGATTAAATAAAGGTTTAAGATAAGATTAACGATATAAGAAAAAGATGGACATAAATCTATTAGTAAGATTAGATTTGGTTTTACTTATGTATGCTCAACCATAGGTTTGGTTTTACTCATGTATGCTCAACCATAGGTTTGGTTTTACTCATGTATGCTCAACCATAGGTTTGGTTTTACTCATGTATGCTCAACCATAGGTTTGGTTTTACTCATGTATGCTCAACCATAGGTTTGGTTTTACTTATGTATGCTCAACCATAGGTTTGGTTTTACTTATGTATGCTCAACCATAGGTTTGGTTTTACTTATGTATGCTCAACCATAGGTTTGGTTTTACTCATGTATGCTCAACCATAGGTTTGGTTTTACTCATGTATGCTCAACCAGAATTTCCTGACATAACACTTAAGTTGTAAGTTTGTTATTTTGCGAATCCTTTAATTGATTCTGGGGATTTCAGTCGAAAATCATTAGGAATAGCCACATAGGTGTTTGTATTAAAAGTGTAAACCTGATGTAATTATTGAGGCTTAGATTCTCTGTATTTCGTTGGTTGAAATATTGTTCTTTTATTCGATAAGGATGCCCAGTTAAGATTCACTGTATTTTATTGTTGTATTTTATTGTTATTACAGTTGGACGAGCTGCGTTTTGAGATTAACAGACGAGATCAGGAGATCATGGCTATGAATGCCAAGATGAGAACGTTGGAGGAACAGCATCAGGACTACCAACGTCACATCGCTGTTCTTAAGGAATCGTTATTTGCTAAAGAAGAACACTACAATATGCTTCAGGCCGATGTAAGAAAAATGTTATTTATTTATACTTCAACAGTGAAACAAGAATTAATTGTTAGTTACTGATTATACGCAAAGTATCATTAAAATGCACCATCTTTGAAGTTAAGGCTTTACCTGACTTATCACTAGTGTTAGAGACAGAGAAGAAAGAAAAGTCTGAAAATTTTACTGAAATTTCAAATAATCGCCTTAAACAATTAATCAAACATTCATTTAATAGAGACAAAAATACTCACCAATCTACATTATGTACGTCCTTAAGCCTACCTACTTTAAGACTATCTACGTTGTGTCTGCAGCAGGGATCGAATCCTAATTTGTGCGCATTATTGGTCTTCAAGCATAGTGATGAGCCACAAGGCGGGGCGCTCTGATCTACGTATGGAAGAAATGGTGGCAACAGTATGTAGAAAATACAAAGATGGAAGATTGTCTATTTTTACCAATACGTGTGAACTTTGTAAACACGCTTTTACATTTCACAGAACTTTGTTTTTTGTGAGCATCTGTTATTGACGTTATGGGACCGTGTGCTGTTTATTCACGCAAGGGACAAATATCAAAGTAATGCGCCGTAATAAAACCACGACCACGAATCGATAAAAGTCTTTCTAAGGGAAATAAGATATCTGGCCAACGTTTGAACGAAACAATTGTCATCTTATAAAGTTCATGCCTATATTCATATATATATATATATATATATATATACAATAAGAACAAAAAATCATTACCTCTGAAATGTATAAATATAAGTATTTTGTGAGTATTAACACAAAATAAAATTAAACGAATATTTAATACTTTTTAATTTTGTTTTATAGTTTAAGCAAAATACCATTCGCAAAAATAATTAGAAATTAGGCTTACATTAATGTCGTTCTATACAGTTTCGTTGGCTTATTATTGGATCATTGTATGTAAAACTTCAGTAGAATTTTGTAGATAATTAAAATATATGTTTAGGTTGAAGAAATGAGACAAAAGCTGGAAGAAAAGAACGCTAACATTGAGAAAAAGACTCATCAGGCCACCACAGCAACTCAGGAAAAGAACAGGCTGTCTCAAGAGGTTCAGGAACTCAGAGATCACATGGAGATCAAAGATAGGAAGATTAATGTTCTACAGAGAAAGGTCGGTAATATAATCAGGAATACTGGGATGTTCAGAAGATTAAAGTTATCAGACAAAGAGTTAAGACGTTCATCAGCATTTCGAGATATCAGATCAACAGTTGTTAAAGTCGTGCTATTAATCAAATAAACTCGTGTTGTTGTTTTTTTTGTCCAAATGAGAATTAACAAAGTTTATGTTTTGCTTTTATATTATGTCAACAATAACCACGCCCTTACTTATTCAAATGAAACGTTTCAGTGTGATCTGTTTACCAATTATGTTTCCACAACAACAGGGAGAAATCTAATAATTAATTGTATAAGGACCATTATATATATTTATATCCAGAAGCGTTGCCAAGCGCTTACATACGGGGGCCCGTCCCCCAATCCCCAATTCGTGTCTTTAAAAAATCAGAATAGAAAAACCATGATCGATATCATACTGAAACGCTGAAAATTCCCGCTCCTATTGGCCCGAGTCCCGAATCTTTTAAACACCTAACGACACCTCTGTCTATATCTAATCAATATTTGTATTCGTATTTCAATGTACAGTGGTTTGTAGGTTGTGTAAATAATAATTATTCAAACTCTAATAAATTCGATAGTTTGCTCTGTACCAAAGAAATATGTTGAATATATTTCGTCATTATAAAATTGGTCACTAGTAAAAATTCCTTGAATATTTGACGAATCTAATTCCTTATACTTATAAACGGGGGATTATTGTAGTTTTTGGTATAAAGTGTATGTAATGTTACGTTACAAAAGACTCTGGTAGCAAAAGCTACTCATGCTATATAAGGTATATCCATAGAGACTGGACAATATGAAGGAAATATCTATTAATTTCTACATTTTATTAATAATATAGAGCTGATAAATTATGAACAAAGAATACAGCAATACGTAAAAGAGATGAAACAATAAGGTGTGCATCAGACAATTGTAATTTTAGTCATTTGTTGATTAAAGCTTCTTCTAATTGTTGAAGTGATGTTAATGGTGGAAATATGATTGGAAGATTAGACTTAAAGAACCGATGACAGACACGTGAAAACTTTGAAAACTGGAGACTGTGGTGACCAAATTAGGTGTTAAAACTCTTCTTTATGTCTACATAAATATGATTGAAAGATTAGACTTAAAGAACCGATAACAGACACGAGAAAACTTTGAAAACTGGAGACTGTGGTGACCAAATTAGGTGTTAACACTCTTCTTTATGTCTACATAAATATGATTGGAAGATTAGACTTAAAGAACCGATAACAGACACGAGAAAACTTTGAAAACTGGAGACTGTGGTGACCAAATTAGGTGTTAACACTCTTCTTTATGTCTACATAAATATGATTGGAAGATTAGACTTAAAGAACCGATAACAGTCACGTGAAAAATTTGAAAACTGGAGACTGTGGTGACCAAATTAGGTGTTAACACTCTTCTTCTACAGTAGGGTTTAAGTAATCATTTCCTGCCACTTGATCTGTCCGTGAGATCATAGACCCTAAATTATTCGAGCTGAAACCCTTCTACAGTAGAGTTTAAGTAATCATTTCCTGCCACTTGATCTGTCCCTGAGATCATAGACCCTAAATGATTCGGGTTAAAACCCTTCTACAGTAGGGTTTAAATAATCATTTCCTGCCACTTGACCTGTCGATGAGATTATAGACCATAAATGATTTCAGTTAAAACCCTTCTACAGTAGGGTTTAAGTAATCATTTCCTGCCACTTGATCTGTCGATGAGATTATAGACCATAAATGATTTCAGTTAAAACCCTTCTACAGTAGGGTTTAAGTAATCATTTCCTGCCACTTGATCTGTCCCTGAGATCATAGACCCTAAATGATTCGAGTTAAAACCCTTATACAGTAGGGTTTAAATAATCATTTCCTGCCACTTGACCTGTCGATGAGATTATAGACCATAAATGATTTGAGTTAAGACCCTTCTACAGTAGGGTTTAAGTAATCATTTCCTGCCACTTGATCTGTCCGTGAGATCATAGACCCTAAATTATTCGAGCTGAAACCCTTCTACAGTAGGGTTTAAATAATCATTTCCTGCCACTTGACCTGTCGATGAGATTATAGACCATAAATGATTTCAGTTAAAACCCTTCTACAGTAGGGTTTAAGTAATCATTTCCTGCCACTTGATCTGTCCGTGAGATCATAGACCATAAACGATTCGAGCTAAAAGCTGCCAATGTCATCAGATAGTTCATCGTAATTAATTAATGGATGTTTGTTTGTTTGTAATCAAGCACAAAGGTACACAATAGGCTATCTGTGCTCTGCCCACCACGGGTATCGAAACCCGGATACTAGCGTTGTAAGTCCGCAGACATACCGCTGTGCCACTGGGGGGCTAATTAATGGAACAAGACATTCAAGGTTGTGAGCTTCTATTGGCTTTCGCCACACATTAATATATCCAGTTGATGGGAAAGGTATATAAGATGATTCATGTAAGAAAACTATGTTTTCTGTTGATCCTCCATCAAATTTTTGTGTTCTTGACAACGTTTAACTCGGGTTTTTGCATGTTTTGTTGTTATCAGAGGTTTCAGAATACCATGATAACCAATCTCTGCATTTCCGATCGAGTGGTTGTTGTAGGCTAATGTAATGTCTTGAGCACACTTTTGGACACCGTAGTGTTTTGTATATGTCTCACTGCTAGTGTTAATACTTGTCTGTCAGCTTAGTTTTTTAGACCATTGTTAGGTTTTGTCTGACCTAACTTCATTTTTTGATACCATGCTGACGTCACTTTTGACACTGTCCATCGGGAAAGCTCCCCAGTGGCACAGTGGTATGTCTGCGGACTTACAACGCTTTTGTTTGTTTGCAATTAAGCACAAAGCTACACAATGGGCTATCTGTGCTCTGCCCACCACGGGTACCGAAACCCGGATTCTAGCGTTGTAAGTTCGCAGACATACCGCTGTGCCACTGGGGGGCGACAACGCTAGAAACCGGGTTTCAATAGCCCTTTTTGTAGCTTTGTGCTTATCTACAAACAAATTCATTATTTTAGGTGTTCTTGTTACTGAGAAACCAGCTAGACAAACTACAACAATAATATAATATTCGTATATAGACAAAAAAGCAATTTTAACACAATGAAATTACCATGTTAAGATAAGGTTTTTTTCTATTATTTTGTCGAATCTCTGTAAGTACGCATGTTACAGTATTGCTGATATACTTACTTAAAAATCTATGTAATGTGGTGTAAACAACGGCCAAATATAAGGTTAATATTTTAAAGAAAGGTACAATGATATAATCAATTGGGTATGGTGGGAGTTAAGGTATATTTACTAATGTTAATACACCTTCAGGTATCACACGATCTGAAATAACTTTTATGTATTTGCTTCCGAAAACCAAGTCTAAGTTAGAGCTTCTTTCCCGTTAAATATGTATCTGAAAAATTTAACAGCCTAGCCTTAGGTAATAAATGACCATAATCTATGAACATTTGTTTGTTTATTAGAGAATAGCCACATTGGGCTATATGCTGTGTCCACCGCAAGGAATTTAACCCTGGATTTTAGCGTTTAAGTCCGTAAACTTACTGCTGTCCCGATGGGGGTTTGTTTTGTAATTAAGCACAAAGCTACAAAATGGGCTATCTGTGCTCTGCCCACAACGGGTATCGAAGCCCGTATTCTAGCGTTGTAATCTGCAGACATACCGCTGTGCCACTGGGGGCCCCGCTGGGGGACTTGAGCATTGCAATTGAAAAAGTCCATGTGGTGAATTATTTAACTGTAAGATAACACATAATGTAGTTTCATGAATACAGTTGCGATACGAGATATATGTGTATCTGCGTGTACTCATCTCCTCTAAATATGTAATAAGTTACGAAAAACAAAACCTGAAGAAACTGGTTTAAGAATGATCTTAACCGAATGGAGAATTTCAATAATCAAAATAATATTTTTAAATAAAATTTCAAAAATATAATTTTAAATGCCTCACGGACTTATAGGTTGCTTGTTGAGTTTTTGCGCAAAACTACGGGAGGACTATCAGCGTTAGTCGTCCCCTAATTTTGAAGAGATAGACTAGATGGAAGTTAGATAGTCAATAATTCCCTCCACCAACTCTTGGGCTGCTCTTTATCAACAAATAGTGGGTTTGAACGCAACATTATAACGCCTCAACGGCTGAAAGGGTGAGCGTGTTTGACGACGGGTTTCGATCCTGCGACCTGCAGATTGTTAGTCGAGCGCCCTAACCAGACCGTGCCAGATCCAGAGTCTATAAAGGTCAAAGTGTGCGGTACCTCTTAAAATCCCCCTCACCAGTAGCTCAGCGGTAAGTGTGTGGGCTTATCACGCTAAAACGCGGCTTTCGATAACCTTGGTGAGCACAGCATAGATAGTTCCTTGTGTAGCTCTATATTTAACTACAGTACATAGCAGTATATGCAGCTTGGAAGGTTCATATAGTGATTGTTACAAGAGTGCCGTTATGTCGTTAGCACATAAAAAATAATATTTTCGGAGAAAAATTATCTGTCAAACATAAGGCATTTCTAGATACTAGTAAAATATACTGGATGAAAATATTATAATTCGAAATTTCGCAAAAAATCTTTAAAATTTTGCAGTTTGACATGTCTGACTCATAACTGCTGTTCATTTTCCATCTAGATTGAAAATCTTGAAGATTTGCTGCGAGAGAAGGACAATCAAGTGGACATGGCTAGAGCTCGGCTTACAGCTATGCAGGCTCATCACTCGTCTTCAGAAGGTGCTTTGTCCAGTTTGGAGGAAGCCATTAGCGATAAGGAGAAGCAGAACACACAGTTACGAGAACAGCGTGATCGCGCTGAACAAGAACGGAATGAAGAGCGTGAGTTGCACGAGCATGAAATAGCAGAATATAAGATGAAGATGCACGCTCTTGAGAGTGAAATGGATAAACTTCAGATGAAGCTTGAAAAGGCAGCTGGGGAGAAGGACCGTCTTGAAGTGAGGTTGGAAAACTCCCAGTCAGAGCTTGGCCAAGCCAGAGCAGAGCTGGAGAAGGTACAAACAGAAGTCAACAAGTCACAAGTTGAATGGGAAAAAGGAAAAGGAGAAAGCTCCTGGCTCACTCTAGAAGCTGAACGCTTGAGAGAACAGAACGAATGGCTAAAAACGGAGTTAGGTAAGTCCCGAGATTCTTACGGCAAGTCAAACCTGTACCAATCAGATGAAGTGGAACGGTTACAAGAAAAACTGGAAAAGATCCAGTCGGATTTACGCCGGGCGCAGGCTGAGCTACGAATGAACCAAGCGGAACAGGATCGAGCACGTGGGGAGGTTGAACAGCTTCAAGAAAAGGTCGAGAGGTCACAAGGAGAAGTGTATCGCTTCAAAGCAAAGTTAGAAAATGCTCAAGCAGAAAAACAAAACTTGCAGGAAGAGTACGACAGAGTTCAAGCACTGGTTGCTCGCAGCCAATCAGAACGTGACGTGGCCCTAGCTGAGACAGAGAAGCTTCGTAACGAACTCGAAAGAGTTCAGGGTTCTCTTGGTAAGACCCAAGTACAACATGAGAAAACCCAGGCAGCTTTAGACAAGGCTCAGTTGGACTGCGATAGGATACAGGAAAAACTAGATAAGGCTAGTGGTGAAATACGTAGACACCAAACTGAGAGGGAGCAGGCACAATGTGAAATGGAGAACTTACAGTCCCAGGTTTATCAATTACAGAGTCAAACTCAAAAATATCAGCGAGAGAAAGAAGTGGCACTGATTGAAGTTGAAAAGCTAAAAGAGAAGCACGAAAGAGCACAGTCGCAGTTACAGCGCCTGCAACGAGATAAGGACCTGTCTCATCATGAGATCGAAAAGCTTCAGGAAAGAGTAGATCTACTTCAAGCACAGCTGAATAAGTCTAACAAAGATCGAGAAAATGCTCAGGCAGAGTTTGAGGTCATCAAAGAAAGATTCGAGAAGTCTCAGAACCAACTGGAGCGGTATCACGCAGATTATGACACCGCCCATGCTGAGAACAAAGTATTAAAAGAGAAGCATGATAAACTACAGCAGCAGTTACAGAAGCTGCAAGAAGATAAAGAAATGACAAGAGTTGAATGTGAGAAACTTCAAGGGAAGATGGAAAGGAGCCAATCAGAAACGTTCAAAATCCAGTCTAAGTATCACCAAGCACAAGCAGAAGTAGACAGACTAAATATAGAACTAGAAAAAGCTGTGGTTGTTACAAACAAAACAAAAGAGGATTACAAAAAGGCTCAAGATGAGTTCGAAGGGCTGGAAGAGATGTATTCAAGAACCAGCTTGCAGCTTTCAAAGACAAAAGAATCGGAAGAAAAGCTGAGAAACGAGCTCGACAGATGCCAGATGGATTTGGAGGTTATTCGAGACAGATACGAGAAATCTCAGGTGGAAATGAGGCGAATCCAATCAGAGCGGGATAAACTGCAAGCTGAAGTGGACCGCATGTCTATAGAACTGGACCGTGTACAAACACAAGTTGGTAAAACACAAACTAGTCACGAAAAGACTCAGGAAGAGGTCGCCAGAATGCACGTCGAGTTGGAAAAAGTGTATGAAAAATTGGATAGGTGTCAAGTAGAGTTGAGAAAAACACAAAACGAGAAAGACCGCACCCAGACAGACAAAGAAAATATACAATTAGAATTAGAGAGGTATCAATCTCAACTCATTAAATATCAGTCTATGCAGGATAAGTCTCAGTCAGAGGTGGATAGGTTATATATTGATTTAGAGAAAATAAAAGACAAATATGAGAAAATATTAGCAGATTTAGGAAGAGCTAATGAGGAAAAAGAAAGCTTAAGTTTGGAATTAAAAAAAAGGGAGGAGTATGATCACAAACCAAATAACGGTAAATCTGTAACACAAACCAAAACGTATAAGCATTCTGAAGAAATGGAAGTGATGCACATCGAGGTGGAAAAAATTAAAGATAAATATGAAAGAGCCTTGCACGACATCAAACAACTTCAAGAAACAAAACAACGACAACAAAGAGAGATTGAAAATCTACAGTATGAATTAGAAACAGGTCAGTCTAAGATTCATAGAGTATCGTCGTACGAAGGAAGACAGAAAATTGATTTTGAGAGGTTAGCAATTGAAGCAGAGAAAATAAAAGACAAATTGGAACGGAAAGAAGCAGACATGGAGAAACTGAAGAGGGAAAAGAACTTGCTCCAAGAAAGAGTTGACGAGTTAGAGACGTCTTTAGGCTTAGCTCATTCCAAACTGGAGGCGTTTCATACTAGCCAAGAACAGAGATGCGACAGTGACACTAACTACGGAGAGATAGAGAAACTGAAACAACAATTGAATGAATCAGGAATTGAACTTCAACAAACCCTCGCAGAAAATAATCAACTACGGATACAAATGGAAAGGCTAGAGCAGGATTTAGATGAAGCTGATAAATATATTACCCGCTATAATCAGAATCAGGATGTTTCAAAAGAGGAGACTGGTAGATTAAAAGACGAGATTCAGCAATTGAAGGATAAGCTAGAAAACTCTCAAGAGGAGTTTCACCATATTGTGGAAGAAAGAGAAAAATTGAAGCAGGAGGTATTGCAATACCAACAGGAGATTCAAAACACCAAGTCAACAGTGGAGAGAACACAAGATGTCAAACAACAGTGCAAAGAAGAACTTGACAAGTCAAGACAAGAAATTCAGTGGATGCAGAAGCAAGCAGAGAAAATGGAGTACCAACTACAGAATACTGAGATAGACAACCAAGAATTACGGCAGAAGCTAGAATGGGCAATGGAAGCCATTGCTGACAATCAGAGGCAGATAGAAGATGCTAAAACTGAGCTAGAAAAGGCAAAAGAAAAAGAAAATGAGATGTTTGCTGGTAGGTTTCAGGTAGGAGAAAAAGACCAACGAGAGGTTGAAAATCTTCAACAGGAACTCGAGAATCAGAGGATCGAAATCCAGGGGCTTAACCAAGAAATTCAGAGATATCGAGACCAACTGAGTCAAGTTGATGATAGCCATTGGGAGAGTGAAGAATACGAAAAAGAAATCGAACAACTACAGCTAAATCTAGAACATCAGAAAATGGAAACTGAGAAGATGCGTAATGAGTCTCAGAAACTTAAAATAGAACTTACACAAGCACAAGAGGATGCCCAAAACATTGAAGTAGAGCGGGGCCGTTTCCAACAACAGTTAGAAAAACTGATACATGAATTGGAACAAAAAGAGGTCAGTTAGCTATGCTTTATTTTATGTGTTTTCTCTAACCTTTTGGGTGCTTTGGCGATAACTATTTCTATTAGCTTAGATTTCGAACAAACCTCAAAGTGTTGCCTAGTTTAACTATAAAAATATTAGACAAAGACCCTTTCGAGAACATTACTTTATGATACTAAACATTTAAAAGTTAATAAAAATTGGACTTCATCTTAGAATAGGCTTAACTTTCTTACAGTTATTTAATTTAACAAATGTGGTTTAAGAATGACTGAACCTGTCTATTTTGGAGATAGTATTGGAATTAAAATTGAAAATATAGATGACAATGACAAAACCCAGGTGATGAATTAAGACATTCTAATCACTGTAACCTTACAACAAAGTGTAAAAGCCACGAGATTTTGTGTAAAGTTATACATCACTTTGGAATGTAGCTTCACACTTCAAGTTTTTGTAAGGTAGTACAGTATGTGTGTATAGTACTTCACACTTCAAGTTTTTTATAAGGTTATACAGTATGTGTGTGTTACTTCACACTTGAAGTGTATTTAAAGTTAGACAGTATATGTATGTTATTTTACACTTCAAGTTTGTTTAAGGTTACACAGTATGTGTATGTTATTTTACACTTCAAGTTTGTTTAAGGTTACACAGTATGTGTATGTTATTTTACACTTCAAGTTTGTTTAAGGTTACACAGTATGTGTATGTTATTTTAAAATCCATTTTTGTAAGGTTACACAGTATGTGTTATTTTACACTTCAACTTTGTGTAAGGTTACACAGTATGTGTTACTTCACACTTCAACTTTGTGTAAGGTTACACAGTATGTGTTACTTCAACTTTGTGTAAGGTTACACAGTATGTGTTACTTCACACTTCCTGATGTGTTTATCAACAGCCTTCAATAATTGATTATTCCTTGTTATTCATTGGTTGCAGGCAGATCTAAACGCCTTCCGCAGCCAGCAGGGAGCGACCCAACAACAGTTAAATGTACAGTTAACAAAGTTAAACAAACAGCTGGAAGAGAAGCAGCGTATTGTAGAAGAACTGGAAAAGAGGAGGAAGGAAGACATGGAACAAATGGAGAAAGTGTTGTCACAGGTACGATTCTATCACTCCTGAACCATAATGTAAAGCCACTTTAACAGCTATAAATAACTCATTTCAGAATTTCTCTTGGATTTTACTCCACATGTACAAATGGCATTGAAAATAGTTTTAGTTAATTTAGTAAAAATAATAACTTGTTTGTCCTGATTGATTTTAACTTTATGGTGGGAAGTTTTAAATATAAGTAGGTTTAGTCCAACCAAATTATCAGAAATGTAGCTAGAAATTCTTCATAATTATTTCTTTATGTAACAAGATAATTATTTTATAATAAAGGGGGTCTAGTGGTCCTCCTTGAGAAATGTTTAAAACAGGGGGTGTTCTAAGATGCATTTTCAAGCTTTTCGGAAGAAACGACCACATTCTGTCAATCTCGTAATCAAAATAAGAGTTATGTAAAATAACATTAGAATCCATTAGGGCCAAAGTTTGTGACAAACATCACGTGTATCTCACATGATTTTCTTCCTATTCATTTCATTCTGTCAACCTTAGGTTCAAAATTACAGAAGTGTAAGAATAGCATTTCAGGTCTATCTCAAGAGGCCTTTCGTGCAATACCAAAAGTCGTCAGTTGATCTTAACGATGACAAACAGAGGACTCTTTTAAACGCTATTTATTTATACATTACAATGCATTAAACGTTACAGTTTAAGCGCTGAAAGCTGGCGAAACACCGTTAACCAATAGGCTCAAAATGTGTTTGTTTGTTTGTTGTTCCCTCTAGCTTTCTACGCTTAAACCGTGACTTTTAAAGATGTGACCTTTTATGAAGCACAGAAACACTAATAACTTTAATATTTTATGTATTCTCCAACTTACGTATTTTTAATAAGGTAGCCAATTTGGATTTCAAAATTCGCGTTAATATAGGCTTGTTACTTACTACATCGCATTGCCAGGTTAAGGGGTGTTTCTTCCCCTGTAGGCCTGTTACTTACTACATCGCATTGCCAGGTTAAGGGGTGTTTCTTCCCCTGTAGGCCTGTTACTTACTACATCGCATTGCCAGGTTAAGGGGGTGTTTCTTCTCCTGTAGGCCTGTTACTTACTGCATCGCATTGCCAGGTTAAGGGGTGTTTCTTTCCCTGTAGGCCTGTTACTTACTACATCGCATTGCCAGTTTAAGGGGTATTTCTTTCCCTGTAGGCCTGTTACTTACTGCATGGCATTGCCAGGCTAGGGACGTGTTTCTTCCCCTGTAGGCCTGTTACTTACTGCATCGCATTACCAGGTTAGGGAGGTGTTGCTTCCCCACTGGCCAGGCTGAACAGCATTATGTTATTCTATTTTACAGTGTCACCTGTAAAAGTAGGTATTGCATGGATGACTAGAGCACGCCATGTTAATTTGACATCACAAGTATGCTATTTATAGACAAATTAGACAACTTTTAATTTGACAATAAACTTTATGGCGTAACTACAGGATGCACACGTTATGAAGGACGTTAGATTTTCATGTCACTTTTCATGAGTTTGGCATCTTTGCAATGAGGTTCTACAAATAAAAAAGAAGTACGTTATTGAAAAGAGAAAAAAGTCATTTGATGATTTTTGAAAGTTGTTTCACTCGAAACAGCTGAGACTATGCTTGCTAAGCCACTGAGCATTTAGGTTTGGAATAAGGCCCCGTTGTTTCTTAACAGTAAACTTGAGAACTTATAGTTCAAGTTGTAAATATCGCAGTAAGGAGCACTAACAAAATCAAATAAATATTTTAATAATTACATTTCATACATGTTTCTTTCAATATCACACATTAAGGAAACATATTAATTTGATATTATTTTAAATGTTTATATACTCCACAATGAAACAGAATAAATTCAGAGACTAATAAATATTTTTATTTTCTTTGTAAAGTCGTAAGTCTTTAATAAGTCTTAATGATAAAGTTTTTAATAAAGGTGTTTTATCTTACAACTCGTTATAAAATGCTATTAAAAATGTCTTATTTCGTATCACGGCAGCTTAAATTTCTTTTATATAGGCAGCAACAGGTCAGAATGAAGCGTTCGCCAAACAAGTGGCTGAGCTGCGACAAAAAACCTCTGAGATTGAGAAAGAAAAAAACGACTGTCAGAAGGAACTAGCCAAAGCGAAAGAGGAGTCCAAGCGGTCAACGTCCGAACTAGAACGGTTATTGCAGATTATGACCTCCACAGAAGAAGAAAAATTTGCTCTAAATCAGCAAATCAAGGAACTGCAAGAGTAAGTTTTGTATGTAACTCAGCCTGCAGTGATTTTACGAACGCACACAATTGCCAGTCTCGAAATCTTAAACGTTGTTAAACCTCAGCGTTGTCAGCAAGTATACGTAAACGATATAAATACAATTTCTAAATATGATTAATTTCAATATTAAGAAAAACAGAAATATTAAAACCGCACAAAGAAATATACACTGACAGCATATAACATCATCCAGGCAATACACTGACAGCATATAATACCATCCAAGCAATACACTGACAGCACATAACACCATCCTAGCAATACACTGACAGCATATAACACCATCCAAGGAATACACTGACAGCATATAACACCATCCAAGCAATACACTGACAGCATATAACACCATTCAAGCAATACACTGACAGCATATAACACCATTCAAGCAATACACTGACAGCATATAACACCATTCAAGCAATACATTGGCAGGATATAACACCAACTAAGCAATATCTATTCGATTATTACTCAACAACGTCTTATTTACGCAGCGTAAAGCATAAAATCAGATATCTGAGGTTTTCAGTATCAAAAAAAAATTATCACACATTTTAAATGTCATACCAGAAGCTGCACACATGAAATTTCGATAATTGTCTGTTTTTTATATCTCACCATCGATGGTTTTATTGGCTCAGTAATAAAACTCATAAAGTCGGATCAGGTACAAAGATAACAGCTGTATATATGTCAAACCTTTATATCTATCAAAGCTTATTTTATAAATTCGTGTCAGTGATGCCGTCATGTCAGGTTCTGAGAGTCGAACATTTAGGGTCTCTATTGTTCCCTATTCCTCAGTGCCTCTACCATCTAATCTAATTCAAGCTTTTCTTCTCCAATCCAAAAAATTCTCTGACTGCCTATTCCTCTTCTTTCTTCGGATTTGCCCCCAGTGGCACAGCGGTATCTCTGCGGACCTACAACGCTAGAAACCAGGTTTTGATACCCGTGATGGGCATAGCACAGATAGCCCATTGTGTAGCTTTGTGCTTGACTACAAACAAACAAACCTTGCGAACGTGCCATCAGAACTAATTATAAGTCTAAAGTAGCGCATGTTTTGTTTCCTACATATATTCAGCATCTTTTTTTCTTTACTTGTTTTTGTACATCCAGAAATATACTAACACGTTTCTTTTCGTATGTAGCTGCCTATAACACCAAATTCCAAATGCTTCCGTAAAGTACAAAAGAGATTTCAAAAGTTTAAACTAAGTTATTCAATTGTATGCATTCACCCTGACATTAATACAAGTATAGAGACATTAATTAAACATGTCTATATATTTTCTGAATGCTTGTCGTTACAACTCTGGAGTAATTATCAGAGGAGACTAAACTCATGTACAAGACCCTCACATTAATACAAGTATAGAGATATTAATTAAACATGTCTATATATTTTCTGAATGCTTGTCGTTACAACTCTGGAGTAATTGTCAGAGAAGACTGAACTCATGTACAACTTCACGAAACGTTTATCATCACATGAGTAAACCACCTGGAGTGTTTAAACTCGTGTACATGCTTTCTGGGTATTTATCGATACATCAGTAAAATATCTGGAAAATCTCAACTTCTGTACATGTTTAGTGTATGCCATTTTTGTCCTCATTTAACTGTCTGGGAATACTAAACTTGTGTACATGTTTTTTATATGTCACTTATTTCATCGTTGAACTGTCTGGAGATACTAAACTTATGTACATGTTTTTTATATGTCACTTATTTCATCGTTGAACTGTCTGGGAATACTAAACTTGGGTACATGGTTTCTTTATGTGACTTATTTCATCGTTGAACTGTCTGGAGATACTAAACTTGTGTTCATGTTTTTTCTGTATGTGAATTATTTCATCGTTGAACTGTCTGGAGATACTAAATTTATGTACATGTTTTTTTCTGTATGTGAATTATTTCATCGTTGAACTGTCTAGGGATACTAAACTCGTGTACATGTTTTCTGAATGTCACTTATTTCATCATTGAATTTTCTGTGGCTAAACAAACCTGTGTGCACGTTTTCTGAATGTTCACCATTACGTATAACGAATGTTACAAATCAATGTTATTACTTAACATAAACTTTTATCGGTTTGAATGTTGTTTTTTAAAGTTTATAAGGAAATTTACACACGTGGTTTGAGTTTTCCAATATTTATCAATACAACAAATTACAGTGTAGCCACGGCCTTTGATAATGGTAGTTATTTTCTCAAAAACGTTGCACCTGTATCTTTCTAAGTAATGAAAAAAGAAATCTAAAATTACAACTATACAGAACTAAATTAGATGAAACTTATAGGCTATAATATTTGAACATCAAAATACTTGGACAAAAGTCGTAAAATAGTTTTATTTTACCAATTTCAGTTTTCTCAACGGGACAGCGGTAAGTTTGCGGACTATCAACGCTATAATACGGGGTTTGATTCTTCGCGATGGATATAGCAGATAGCCCAATGTGACTTTATTTTAAAAGCATACAAACAAATCTTTTACGTATGAGACTAGCCTAGAAGATCATATAAATAGCAAGGTATACAAAACGTTCACAAACTTAAGTTGTTGCGAATGCTACGTTTTCTAGAAACTCCTGGCAATATGAAATTTTTAAGTATTAAATATTTTTGTGTTAAATATCAACACTAGATTTTAAAATGGCACTGTTACTGTGAAATTTAAGCTTTGTGGTAAAACAGTAACATACCAGTTACTGGTTTTATTGTTGGCTTTATATTAAGTAAAACAAACTTACATTTGGATAACTGTAATTATTCTCAAGTGTGTGTTATCTTATAGCAAAGATACATCGGGCTATCTGCTGTGCCCACCGAGAGGAATCGAACCCCTGATTTTAGCGTTGTAAATCCGAAGACTTATTGCTGTCTCACCGGGGGACAATTATTCTCAAGACAGACGTAAATATAATTTTAACTTGATCTTTCCTCATACGATGACACAGTAAGAAGCCCTCTCCCCTCTCGTGGTTTAGAAATACGTTTGAGGGCTAATAACGCCAAAATTCAATGCTCGACCCTTGTGGTTGACACAGTTTAGACAGTCCATTGTGGATCTTTGCGTGTAAACAAAAAAGAAAGAGAAAGAAATGGTCATTTTCGAAAAATGCTTTCATGTAAAATACTTACACTCCTATTAGTAGTTAAACACAGCATTCATTTTTAAACCATGTATATAAATTATTGAAGGGTTTAATTTTTTATTGCATTTCTTTACATATGTTTTGGTTTGGTTGGAAGTTCGCGCAAAACTACACGAGGGCTATCTGCGCTTGCCGTCCCTAATTTAGCAGTGAAAGACTAGAGGGAAGACTACTCTTTCAGCAACGGATTTGTGGGATTAACCGTCACTTTATAACGCCCCCACGGCTGAAAGAGCAAGCATGTTGGTGGGACGGGGATTCGGACCTGCGACCCGCAGGTTGCGAGTCGAGCGCCCTAACCACCTGGCCATGTTAAGCCTACAAATGTTTGATATGTATTTTTATGGAAATTGGAATATATTCTTATTCAACGAACTTTTTATAAAGCTTATAAACAAAAACCTGTCCAGTGTATAGTGATGGAAAGTAGAAACATTGGTTTAAGCTCATATAAACTCATCCAGTGTCTTGTAGCATTACGTTGTTAATTTTTGATTGGCTTATAAAACTGTAAGACCAATGATAGAAATTAGAAAGTTTTTGTAAAGATCATAAAAACCAGCATGGAAAGAAGGAATTTTTTTTCGGGTCTCGTAATAACGTTTTTCAACGACTATTGACACTTCTGAAGCACTCTTGTTTTATCTAATAATGTAAATACATAATGATTAGTGAGCACTCTTATTTTATGAATTAGTTTTTATAAAAAATGCCAAGTAGAATTTCTGAAGCACTCTAACTTTTATACATAACGCCTAATAACACTTCTGAAGCACTCTTGTTTTATCTACAAATGCATGTACATAGATTAGTTTACAGTTGGGCCGGAGGTGAGCTCGCTTTTCTGATTTTCTATAAATTTGATTTTACTCTTGTTAAATTTAGTCTTTAGTGCATCACTGCTGCCAATTTCAATACAAGTAATTCAGGGAGATAAAAAGAAAGTTTCATAATCCTGACATCTTAAATTTTGTTGTTGTTGATGCCATTTTTGGTCTTTGACGAATCCAGAAATTCTTGCAAGTTACTAGTTAGAATAAGTTAGCCTAAGTAATGAACAGTGTGAGACTTAAGTAAACAATAGATACAGTGAAGTATTGATTTGAAAACTCTACTAGAAAAGAAAAAATAAGCAAGTTATTTATCTATTGGGCCTTGTACTTGGATTTTTAATATCAAACTGGAAAGCTTTTTTCTACTTCAGTCGGTGTTGAACAACTCATTAAACAGAATGATGTCATGTTCTTCCTAACCAGCTCTCTCAAGGAGAAAGAGGCTCAACTAAGCAGTATGAGAAAGAATCAGCAAACTGATATGGGAAGAGGTGTTCCAACGAGGGACGTCGATCCAACTAAAGATGCCTCGAAGGCACAGGTAAGTATAGTAAATACGCTCCTTATACTTTTCTTTCGTGTGTAACGATGCCTGATTTACTTCTATTTTAAGACTCCCGGAGTTCAGTTCTTTTTGTACTTTAAGTGAGGATTTCTCCACCTTTTGGTACTTAATTTAATAAGCCCCGAAACTGTCGTAGATCATTCAGCTCCAGTACAGGAAACGTATAGAAACAACTGTGCAGAAATAGAGCATTAGGGAAAAGTGGCAGTCAAATTTGTTATAAAGTGGGAGTGTTTTAAATGTGACACTTGGTATGTTTAATGCCATTATTTCACTGGGTTTCCTTTTATCAGGTTTTATTTAGTTTCTTTTCGGGATGATGAAGAATTCTTCGATTCGATTAGAATAAAAACATTTTAGGGTGAAGAAAAGTAAAACAAAAACAACTTCAGGTGTGTAAAACTGTGACTGTTGCAAATGTACGGACTATAATTTCTGGAATATTTGAATAAATTCATATATTTATGTCTCCGCCGAGAGACATACTGTTTTTCTATTGTTTCTTCGTCTTCTTACAAACACTTTTCAATCGACCGCCATTACTTCATTTCTTGACGGATTGAGTTGAAACTTGGTAGGGTTATACCTTGGTCAAATATGCCCAGACTCATCTTTCGTTTTTCTTTTATTTAGGCTTTTTTAAGTATTTTATGGAGTCAAAGGTAAAAAATAACCCAAAATGGTTTGGGCTCCTGTATGGTCATTTACAGCAATCAAGATGTAAATTGGCACAAATAGAAATTTTCAAGCGTCCAACACATTGACATATAAAAAAGTTGGATTTGCCCATTCTGATTCTTTTTAGGGGGGCAAGAGCTTACAAAAAAGCATAATTTTGGGGTTTTTGATCAATTGCTTCGCTGTATTTAGGCCAATTTACATGGGATTTGGTACAAAGATACTTTTTTACAGGTTCCATATATACAAAAATATGGGATATGCCTATTCTTGATCATTTTTAGATGGTTCAAGACGTTGAATAAACCTATAATTTTAAGGGTTTTGGTTAATCACTTAGCCTTGTTTCGACCAATCTAC